GGCCAGTTAGCCACGTCATTGGAGTACTGATTGTCACACCAAATCTCCTTTTTTCCATGAGTCTGCAGTGATGCGGAAATGCCATTCACAGTGAGGACAGTTTTGATTCTCAGCCTCAGACTATGAGGAGCTCTGCATCGGTGGATCTGTCAGACCCTTTCTGAGATGTTTTTCTCTGCAGTGAATTTATTGGAAATGAAAGTAAGCAAAGTGGTTTTACAAACCTCGCAGTGGTCAAGGAGTTGCTACACTTTCTTCAGCCTTCTCTTGAAAACTCAAGGATGTTGGTCATTATACTGGCCTGGGGTATGCTGATGCTTGCAGGCATTACTAAGACCAGTGGGGCTATTTTCTTCTCTACCGAATGGCCCCAGATTGCTGTGCTTTTGAGTTGTCACCTTTGTTTTTCATCTTTTTTCTGCCTTTCCTGTGACACAAGTGGTGCTGGAGAGGATTGTAGGGGCTTTGCAAGGTGGATTTAGATTACACATGGATGTGATCCACCTGACTCGACACCACGGAGGGGGCACGTGTGCCCCGCCTCCTCTCCTTCCATCACGGAAGGTCTCGTTGACCCTCACAGGGAAGGCAGGCCTCCACCCAGAGGCAAAAGCATCAAGGTAGAATTTAAGAGCATGCTTTTGTTTTCATTGTATTTATTATGAAGTTTACCAGCTGTTTATAGAGGGAATCCTGATTTCATAGTTCAGCAGTGTCATGAAGTTTCTTCTAGAATAACCTCATTTTAGTTTACAAAGTCTGAAGAAAAATCCCAGTACAGGTGGAGAGCGGATCAGGCAACACCGGCCAACTTGGTTCTTAAATGGCCGAAGTTGGGAAGCGCTGGCTTTCCCCGAGAGCTCTGTGTCTCCAGCTGTAGCGCTCACACCAATCTTGTTAAAAATGAAGATTCTGAGTCAGTAGATCCCGGCTGGGGCACAAGATTCTGCATTTTTAACAAGCTCCCTCCTAGGTTACGCTGCTGCCCTGGCCTCTGGCGACTCCAGGTTTGATCCACAGACCAGCAGCGTCAGCATCAGCGGGAAGCTTGTTGTGGTGCCAGCCCTCAGTCCCGTCCCTGGACCTGCCGTATCTTCACTCACCAGACCCCCAAGTGGTTCCCGGGCACATTAACATTCGGGAAGCCCTGATCGTACGTGCTGCTGCTGGGGGGTCCTCAGTGTGTAGTGAGCCCCGCCGAGCAGGCAGTTAGAGCCCGTGCCTGAACTCCTCATGTGGAAGCGGGGTTTCCTTTTCCTTGTTTCCAAATCACTTTACAGAGAGCTCATGGAAGGATGTTTCCAGGCCTGGCATGCCCTCTCTTAGGAACACACCTTCCGGAGCTTTCCATTCCACCACATGTCCATCTCTGCTCCTGTTTGCATTTTGAGACCCATGTCCTCTGCGTAGCTGCCTCACTATCTGGATTCTCAGAAGCTGACGCCTGTGGCTGGTGCATGGCTGGACAAGGGACATCTATCTTTCTTGGCACTGCTGCTCCCAAAGGATATAATTTGCTTGACAGATGTGTTCTGGCTGCAGCCACTCAGGGTGGGGTGAGGAATCGTGCAAAAGGCTGGGTGCACACGAGGCTTTAAAAAATGGCCACGAGGATAGTGTCCCTGGGGAGACCAAGGAGGCGAGGGAGGACAGTGCTCAGCGGTGCGCCAGCTCCCTGTCCCTGCGGCCAGCTGTGTGGGGAGGGCACAGGAATCAAGGCTCTGGGGCCTCTGAGAGTGGGAGCTGCAGGACCATTACAGTGATGACAGCCTGTGGGTGGCAGACTGTATTTGGAAGGTGGCTGCAGCCATATCTCTCATCTTACCTGCCTCTCTGTAATGCGGGCTTTGCCACACCCCTGCCAAGAGGTAGAGTAGGGTCCCCTCTCTTGAATCTGGGCTGACCTTGTGTAACCCAGTGATGCCACAGGACTTCGGAGGCTGGGTCAGAAAAGCCATTCAGCTTCTGCCTGGTCCTCTTGGAACCCGCAATCTGGATGAAGCCAGCAGAATGAAGAATTCTGACTACGCTGAGACTGCGGTGCTGGAGAAGTATGTGAGGTGCTCCAGGCGGCAGCCCCAGCTGAGCTCCTGGCCAACAGCCGGCACCCACGGTGGCCACGTGACAGACCATCCTGATGTCCAGCCCCATCAAGCCTGCAGGTGATGCAGCCCCAGCTGACATCTAACTGCTGTGACCACATGAGAGATTCTAAGTGAACTCTGCCTAGCTGGACCCTTCTCAGTTTTCTGATCCACAAAATCATGAGCAAAACAAAATGATTGGTTTCAGACATTAAGTTTTGGGGTAATTTGCTATGCAGCCAGAGTAACTGGAGTATTGTGGAAGCTTTGGTTTTTACAAGTATATTCTCAAAAACAGCTCTAAAACAAAATTTTTTCCTTAGTTATATTTAAAATGTTTTAAAAACACCGGGGCGCAGTGAGTAGGTTGTTACAAAATGAATCTCCCCCCCCCCCCCCCCAAAAGAAAGCCTGAAAACTGTCTAGTAAAAACTTGCAGATGGAGGCAAGAGTAAAATGATAAGGGTGATAAAATGCTGCTTTCTGTTCATGCTCTGTCAGGTACTTTATATTCTTTCATTTTAATTTTACTCCCACACTTTAAGGAGTGCCCATTTTATAGATGGGACGACTGAGGCTCAGAGATGTTAAGGAACTCACTAAGAGCCGCACAGCCGGAGCTGGAGTTTGAACGTGGATGGACCTGACTCCATAGCCTGTCCTGCAGCAGATGGAAGAATTGTTAACATGGAGAGCTAAACCTCTTAAGTCTCCTCTCCTTAAGGACAAGGGCTCAAGACCCTTAGGGATCATTCCGTTCAGTGCTGGACCCTTCAGGGTCACCTGGGGAGTGTTTTAAAATCCACATACCAGGCCCAGTCCATACCAAGACTGTAGGTCTGGGGTAGGGTGTCTCCAGTGGTTCTGACCCATCTCCATTTGTCACCTCTGGCTTAGCCCAACCTCCCGTGTTGCAGGTGAGGGCACTGAGGCCCAGTGAGGAGAAGTGGCTTGTTCTGAAGCCCAGAGCAGCTTAATGGCAGAGCTGGGGCAGAGAGCAGGTTTCCCAGCACCCAGACGGCATGCTCCCCCGTGTCTCACTTTGGAGGAGGCTTGGAGGGCCGTTAGCAGAAGTTACCTTACACGTCAACGACGGGATCTCAGGGCACTTGCAGTAAGATCCTGCAGTAGAAATGTTCTGGACACAGTGCTGAACGAAACAGTCAGGGGCCGGCACTGCTCTCTTCTTGAAATTACATAAATACACGGACGGAGGGACAGAGTTTTAGGACTTAAAACCTCCACTGGGAGGAGAGGAAGGGAGAGAGACAGAGGAAGAGGGAGGGGTGTGTATAGAGAGACACAGAAGACAGGTTGAATTTTAGGCCTCTGGTAGGTGCATGATAGGATTCAGCGTGAGGCCGATCAGACTGAGGGTGTTTTCTGTGGCAGCTGTTCAAAGTCCTGAACAGACATCACATTCTGTAGTCACTGAGAGTCCCATCCTGCTGGGCTCTGAGGACACAGCCCTGGAGTGACCCCCAGCCTCTACACCCTCCCAGTGCAGCTGGACATACAAACAAATCATTATCACACAAAGGGAAAGGGTAGAAACCAAGGCTGTGAGACCCCTGATTCTGTCCCAGGGCTGGGATGGCTTTAAGATGACCCACCATCTAGGTTTTTCCTAAGACTGGGGCTTTTCCGGGGACACAAGACTTTCAGTGCTAAAGCTAGGAGAGTCCTGGGCAAACCCAGACTGTTGGTCACCTGGGTGTGGTTCCCTAGACGAGAGGACAGCTGACCCCCGCGTCCTCCCCATCCTGGTGATGGTACCGCTTTTCCTGGAAGCCCAAGCCAAGAGCCCTTGGAATCTGCTTTGACCACCCACCTCGCATGTGCACGTTCTTCCATTCCGTCCTGCCCTTCCCTTCACTCTGCAGCCGTCTCTTGCTGGGACAGCTGCCATAACCTCCTAACTCTCTCTGCCTTCCCTTCTCTGTTCTGCTGCAGTTCCCCATCTTTGCCGCTATCTGGAATGGGGAGTTTCATTCTACACTTCTCTGCCGAATTCATCATTGGTTCAAAAGCCAAATTGCTTAGCCTGGCACTCAAGCCCTGAGTTACCTGGCCCCTGTGCTCTCTCCGGCCACATCTCAAGCCATTCTGAACTGAATTCACCAGGTGGAGAGCTGAGCTGGAGAGCTGGGAGGCGGCCTGACGGCCAAGAGCTGACAAAGCAGACCTGCGGAGTCTCTGTCTGTCCTCACCCCAGGTTTTCTCTTGGTGGCAGTTCTCTTCATCCGCCTGGGTGTTCTGGGCTCTCAGGATGTTTGAGGGGCCGGGAGGTGACGAGATGAGGAGGTGGCTGTTTAGAGCTGTCCGGTTTCCTGGTAGCAGCCCCAGAATGCACCGCATCCCCCTCTCCCTTCCTTCTTTCCTCTCCTCTGTGTTTCTCTCCTGTCTCTACCTTCTGTCTTCTCTTGAAGCTCAGTCTGCCTCCTGGTGGTGCTGATGGTGGCGGGGTGCCGTCTGGGGGAACGCGGAGGGGAGAACACCGCCGGTTCTTCCTCTGGTCCTGCCTGCTGCTCCCTCACCTTTGTTCCAACTCACGTCCATTTCGTTCCCAGAGACTGTGCTGCTGGCCTGGCCTTGCCCCAGTCTGAGCCACCATCCTGGACTTCAACTCCCAGTTCACTTTGGGTCCCCAAGTTTCTAGAGTCTTTGTATGTCAGCCTCACAGCCGTTCTCTCATGCCCACAATTAGTCCTAGCCGGCAGGTGGCGACAGAAGATTCTACAGTCTTGGTAACTACCTCCATCTTTCCCCAGTTGGAACTGGCCGAGAACCATCAGCCGGGCAGTCTGTCCTCCCCACCCTCCGCTCCCCCAGAGGCCAGATCGTCCGCCTGAGCGTGTGCAGGAGCCACCTTCTCCAGTGCTCAGCCCTCACGCCTCTTTCTTTGTTTCGTTTCAGTTTTACGGAGTTCTTGGATCCATTCCAGAGAGTCATCCAGCCAGAGGAGATCTGGCTCTATAAAAATCCTTTGGTGCAGTCAGACAACATACCTACCCGCCTCATGTTTGTAAGTACCATGATTTCGTGGCTGATTTGACCGCTCTCCCAGGTATGAACCAAATGGGTTTTCATTTCTGCATTTCCAACCCCTGCTGATGATGGCTAGCAGCCTGAAAAAAAAAAAAGAGGCGAGCTGCCCATCAACTTAAAATTCAGTTCCAGATCAGGATGGTCGCCGCTTGGTCATGTGAGAAGCAATTGCCCGACGCTTTGGAAAAGAAGGGCCCTGCTTACGTGAGCTAAACCCGAGTTTTTCCGAATACTTAGAGTAAAATAAGATGAGCAACTACTGAACAGAGTTTCCTGCTCCGTCTGTTTTTTCAAAAAACCCCAATTTAGCTGTACTCAGGTAACCACTTTTCTGGGTTTTGCTGGTCAGTTGACCAGTGATGAGACCACTATGTGTAATTCACCCCTGACAGCATCTCTGGTCCTGGGCAGGCATCCAAATAGCTGGTGGATATATTGGGACATTTTTACCTCTTCGCTCTGCCCCTTGTCGGTTACAGTCTCTTACTCTTCGTCTACTATGTGCCGGGTCCTCGGCTGACAGCTTAAGAAAGGATTAACTCATTTAGTCCCACCCAGTATCCCAGCGAGGAAGATGTCATTATTGTCCGAATTTTGCAGGTGCAGACCTGCATCCCAGAGAGGTGAGGGAACTTGCCCAAAGCCATACAAGCTAGAGAGCAGCAGAGCCACGACTCACATCCGAGCAGCCAGCTCTGAGCCCTGCTCGCAGCCGGGAGGCTGCCCTGCAATCAGGAGCCGACTGTCCAGGTCTCCTTGCTGGAGCTCACTGGCTCCTGGAGAATTGCCTTCAGGCCTTTCTGTAGCAGAGGAAATATTGAAGCTCCCTCTTGTTACAGAACAATAATGCATCTTCTGGATGGGCAACCTTGTAGCTTGAAGCTTATTCCTGTTGAGCAGCCATTGTGTGTCTTGCCTCTGGGAACTTAAATGACTGTTCCAGAGCTTTTATAGAGAACATGAGGAATATTTTTGCATTTTGAAAGAAATCCCTCTGATTTTGTGGAGGAAATCTTGTTCATCGGTGATGATTGGAAAGTTCTTTGTGTCTGCAAACATCCCATAGTGCCCGGAGCACTGCATGAGCATCACAGTATTATTGTAATTGCTTTTTCATAATTACTTTTCTGCTGGAAAATAAACTGGAGTTTTGTAAATATCGGGGTAATTGAAAAATGTAGGGTGCTTGTGAGTAGGGTATTACCTTACACTTGAGTATTAAAATCAGATTTTTTTCCATTTCTGCTCTAACTCAAATCTTCCATAAATCCTAGAAATAAAGTAACTAGTGTGTGTCTAACTAGTTTACTCCATGGTTTTAATAGGGGAAGCTTCTGTTGATCACTTGTTTCCGTTTTCAAAGATTTCACATTTCGTGTACTGTAAAACCCAATTTGGAGTGAATGTTCATTTGGGATATTGTGAGAAATTTGTGGCTGTGTCCTAGATTTGTGAACAATGGATTGTTTTGAAGTCTAGATAAAAACGCCACAAATATTCTGGCCGCAGACACAAATAGGATGGAGCACATTTGCATGCTGGCAGTGAAGGGAAGGAGGCAGTAAAGGAGTTCTTCAGTGCTGTGATTCTTGGAGAATAGAGGGGTATTCAGCCACAAACACTGATTCATACCCTCTAGTCTCCTAATGAAATAAGTTCAACCTTTTGTTTTGTTAATAGTAGTTGATGAATTTCATTCATTTGGTCACAAGATTTAGTACGATTCCATAATAACACAAGGAAAGCAGTAGATACATTTAGAATATGTGTAACACAAGATGAAAAATGCTTTGTCACCACGTAAATTAGGTTTGTTCTTCTGGGTTTTTTTTTTTTTTTTTTTTTTTTTTTTTTTCTTGCGTTATGCGGGCCTCTCACTGTTGTGGCCTCTCCCATTTGCGGAGCACAGGCTCCGGACGCGCAGGCTCAGTGGCCATGGCTCACGGGCCCAGCCGCTCCGCGGCACGTGGGATCTTCCCGAAACGGGGCACGAACCCGCGTCTCCTGCATCGGCAGGCGGACTCTCAAGCACTGCGCCACCAGGGAAGCCCTCTTCTGGGTTTTATTAAGAGTTTAATACAAGACATCATTTGTCTGCTTTTGATCCTTTTAAACCTTCTGGTGTTTATAGAAGAATTTGTAATAGAACATATTTTCACTGTTTTTAAAAAATAGCTTGGTTTCCTTAGAAAGCTCCAATTTCATTATTTAATGCATAAACAGAATCCTGGGATCTCCTCTCCTTCTGTTTAGAATGTTTTACTGTAAAGGCAAACTTGCTAACTGTCTAATAACCAAAGTGTTTTTTTTTTTTTTTGCGGTACGCGGGCCTCTCACCGTTGTGGCCTCTCCCGCTGCGGAGCACAGGCTCCAGACGCGCAGGCTCAGCGGCCATGGCTCACGGGCGCAGCTGCTCCGCGGCATGTGGGATCTTCCCGGACCGGGGCACAAACCCGCGTCCCCTGCATCGGCAGGCGGACTCTCAACCACTGCGCCACCAGGGAAGCCCCCAAAGTGTTCTTTTAAAGGCAGCTGCTATAACCCAGATGTTTCTTTATTTGGGAAATCAGTGTCTCTGGAGTTGTGCCTATTTGCGCACGCGCACATGCGTGTGTGTGTGTGTGTGTGTGTGTGTGTGTGTGTGTGTGTGTGTGTGTGTGTTAAAGGAGCTACTTGTTCAAATGTCACAAAAATATATCAGAATGTTAGGGAATTAAGTGAGGAGTAATGACATCACCAAGAAGCCCCTGGCTGGCATTTCCTCTGTCCTTGGCACCATCAGCTGAGGTGACTGTTATCTGTCAACATGAAAGTTGGGTGTGGTTGGACCGTTTGATTCCAGGAGCTTGTTTCCCTTGATGACTCTGAGCTCCTGTGGACCAGAGAGGCAGGCTGAGAACTCTTCTCACACACTGAGTCCTGACTTAACATTTCCTGCGTGTTCCCAACCATCAGCTGCTTCCTTATGCAAAAGAGGTCATGCTTCCTTTCTGAGCGTGTGGAGGTTATCAGGTCATCTTTGAAAGCCTACTTTTTGGTGTAGGAAGACTCCCTTGGTGTTGGGTGTTGCTTTTCAGTACTCTTTGTGGTCTGTAGTAGTCGTGTCTTTGTGTGTCCAGAGAACACTCCCAGGAGCTGGATGTGGGTGAGGAAAGCCATAGGAGCTTGCAGGTGATGGGAGGTCAAATCAGATTGGACCCCTGCAGGCTCCTGGGGGACACGGTACTCTACAGCAAAGTGGAATCTGGAAAGAGCCGGCGGAGAGGCTCTGGTAAACTTTTAGGGATGCTCATTATCGCCCTCCTTCTTCTCATGATGGTAGTAACAACGCAGGCAGCATCTCTTGAGTGCAGGCACTGCGCTCATCATCTTACAAACAGCATCTTAGTGAATTCTCTCAGAATCCTTTGAGGTTGGTACTTTCGTTATCCCATCATTTCAGTGGAGAAAATGAAACTGTCATGAGGTTAAACAGCTTATCCAAGGTTTACAAGCATCAGTGGCTGGACCAGGATCTGAATGCCAGCAGTCAGAGCGCAGACGGCCTTGGAGCCGCTCGCCTGTGCTGCGTCCTTGGGGGCTCAGGTGAGGTGGCCAGGTGGTGAGTGCAGTGTGTCACACACAGAAGAGCAGGTGTAAAGGCACAGACACAGCAGAGCCAGGGCCGCGTGGGCCCCACGAATAGGCATTTGCTTGGAGTGCTGTGTGCTGCAGGGCGTCGAGGGTGGCAGGGATCCAGGCAGATTGTGGACAACTTCAGGTAAGTTAATTAGTAGTTCATTCAGCAGAAAGTTACGAAGCACCTTCCTCGAGCCAAGCCCAGCGGTGGGTAGTGGAGGTGCGAAGCTGAATAAGGTGTGGTTTCTAGTCTAGTGGGGGCACAGACATGAACATGAGTCAGAAGGTTCAGCATCACAGGAAAGCCCTTGAAGGACAGGCAGGACTCAGGTAGGCAACTGAAGGAATGGTAAGTGTTTCCCAATTTCTCTCCCTGGCTTAAAAAAAAAAAATGCACCCAAGACCTGTCCTTTGCCCCTCGTTTTGCTCTGGCCACGATACTGATATGTCCAGAAGATTTACTTCTGTAGAATATCACTGAGATTGTGTTGATTTGATAACAGGGGTTTCTATTCTGGAATAGGATGCTTCTAAGGAAGATGGAAACAAAGTCAATTTGCGGGGAGGAGGGAAGGAAAGGAGACAAAGCTGGCTTGTGATAGTTTAATTTTTAGACACCTTTGAAAAGTCTTCACTCTCGGCTTTGTGACTGGTTATAATTGTTTGCCCACAGCAGGGCCTTTCCCAGGCGTCTGCTTGTCCTGAGTTGTTAGAAGCACCGCGCAGCACACCTTTCTGTCAGATGCTGGGAATTAGGGCACTTTGGGCCCACTGTTTTGTCTGATGTGGTTGAACCCCAGGGACAAGCTCTTCTCTGGCTAGCACCCTAACATCAGGTGCCCTGGCTTCAGCCCCTTCGGTGGCTAAAAGTGCTTGGCACATTCATGCCCTTCCCTGCACACACACTGCTCCATGCTTGGCAGATTCCCAAAAGCATGCTGGCCACACAATGCCTTGTATCAGTGCCCAGGTTTACCCACTGTCTGCGTGTAGCAATGGCCGGGATGGACGGCACTTCCTGTGTTGGTTTCATTGGTGGATGCACAAGGCAGGGCCCTTGCTGGAGACACTGGTCCTGTAGGGCACGGGCAAGGCGCCTGGGCTAATAGGGCTCTTCCCTGCGCCTGACCTCCCTGCACAGATGGGCTGGAGCTTAAAGTGCTCTATTCCCATATGTCTGGTTACAGGATCCTGGCACTGGTCATCTGTTCACAGGTTTCCCTGGGAACAACAATCAGAATTTCCTGGATACTAACTAACTCTCTGCTGGGCCTCGTGGGTGAGCAGTTGGCAGGGGCTCTAGAGTGGACTGCCTCGGTCCACTCCCAGCTTTGCTAATTACTAGCTTCGTGAATTGGGAAAATCACCTCCCCTCTCAGTGCCTCAGTTTCCTTATCTGTAAAAGGGGGCTTTAACACCACTTTCCTCCCTCCCCAGGGTGTTGAGAGCTTCAGATAGGGTGATAGATTTACAACACTTCACTTAGGGTTTGATCTATAAGAAGCATTCAACAACTACTCAGTGAATTTGAATCCTTGCAACCATGCTTTGCTATGTATATCATCACTGTACCCATTTGATAGATGAGGACACTGAGACTGAGACTCAGAGGTGAATAGGTTAAGTGACATACTCAAGGTCGCAGAGCTGGGGCATGAGCCTGGTTCTACTAGATCCGAGTCTGCTCCCCACATTCATTTAGCTCCACAGAGCTCTGGCTTCCTTGCCTGTGGAAGAGCATCATGCAAAACCAGCCACATCCCAGGCTCTGCTTAATGACTTTTATATGTTATCTTGATATGTGGGTGCTGTGTAGCACATTTGATTAGCAGTTTACAAGATGTTCTTTGATACAAGGTGATCTCACGCTCAGTTTCCCCATCTGTAAGATGAGGCTGTTGGGCTAAGCTGATCACTCTGATTCAGGACTCCAACCCAGGTAGCACGGTAGCCCAGATTGGAGCGTCATGGTCCCAGTAGCTGCATGCAATTTTGTGTTCCCTTATCTTCCTGAATTCCAGTTTTGTTTTCTGTACAAGGAGGATGTTTCCCCCAGCGGAGTAGCTAGAGGATTAGACAATGTGAGGAAAGGCCCTAATACATAGTAGGTGCTTAATCCATGACAGCTGCCACTAACACTTCTATGACTTATCCATGTTCCTGGAAACAAGCCCCATTCTTTCCTTCTCCAGCTCCAGAGAAAAGGTGTTTACCATGCTTTATTAATGCTTCTTGCTTCTGAGGTGAGAACTGCTACAGCACGGGTTAGAAGAACAGAGCTTGATTTAAACAGACTGAGTGCAAATTCCCACTTTACCACTTATTAGCTGTGTGACTTTTAGCAGGTTGTTTAACCTCTCTGTGCCTTAGTTTTCTATCCATTAAGTAAGGAGCCTGCTTCATAGGGTTGCTGTGAGGATTGAATGAGTTAATTTACACCAAGTGCCTGTAACAGACCATGTCATTAGTGAGTTTTCAGAAGAGCAGCTCTTTTCTCATAACTGGTGGGGAAAACTCAAGCACAGAGAAGGGTCAGTATGTTCCGTGCATCCTGAAGCAGCGAGTGGCTGGAGTTCATTGTCCTGGTCTCTCTCAGGTCCCATTTAATAAGCACAGACGATTCACTGTCTTCCCACTGGGCCATTCCCAAGGATTTTCCAACTTTTTTTAAGCCATGGAGACATTAATCTAAGGGAAACAATCCCAGGGGAAATTTTGCCTGTCCCTTTCTGTCCTCCATCTCCACACCTGTTTGCAGGTAGAAGTAACCACTCCCCCGCCCCGCCGTGTCTCTGTGTCCATCTTCATCTCCTCCATGGGCTTGGGCAGCAGAACAGTGCCTCCTAAAGGCGTTTGTCAGAACGTGGAAGGGGCGGGCATCGGTTTAACTCAGGCCGGTTTGCTGAGTGAAAGTGGAGTGCTTCTTTTTTCTTCATTCTTTCACTCGGTTCAGAGGTGCTTTTGCCCCTGAGGAAATTGTTTTCCTAACGTGTTGGCTTCTGGGGCTCTTCTCTTAATTCCAACTTCTGGTTGAAAGAGAGTTATAAAAAGTTGGGGGCAGCAGGTGGTAAATATAAGTAAGTCTCTGTCCTGATCTGAGGACTGTGCTGCCCAAGGATACGGCAGATACGTTTCCAGGAAGAAGGAGCGAGACCAGAACCCAGATGTCATTAGCATGAGAGGAGCAGAGAAAGACCCCTGACAGTCACGTGCAGGCATTTCTGTCGTGGCCGCCTGGGCGGGGGCTGGGACCCTAGCCTGGTGGCTGCAATTCCTCACCTGAGAAGCTCGTGAGATGGAAAGCCCCGGGCCCTCCTGGTGCTTAGCCTTGGCCCAGGAAGCAGTTTGTCCTTGGTTCTAGAAGACAGACCAACGTGCATCTACCTAGGAGAGTTAAAGTGCTGTCTGGTTGGGCGAGTCTGGGTGGGGATGTAATTAAGAGCGGGAGAGCTGAGGCAGCAAGCACTGCTAAGAGGGACCCCCTTGGCCTTGAAGCTGTGAGCTTGGAGCCACCGGGCAGCTCTGATGCCTTCCCCGGCTCCGACTCCTGGGCTTGGAGCCGCGGTCTCCCACACGGCGCCCCATCTCCTGTTTGGTCACCACAGTCCTGCTCGGGATCATCTCCTGTAGGTAGCCTCTGGAGCCTTGGAGGGAAAGTCTTCCCGATTCATATTTTCTCTGTGGTTCCATTTCTGTCTAACCTCAGACTGTGCCAGCTGGGATTGTCCTACAGTGTTTTCTTCAGTTCTCCATTCTCATATTTAAGGTTTGACTGTCGGTGGGGTCATTGCAGCACTGTTCACTGTTCAGTGAGCTGCTTTCTCCTGTTTGGGGGTGGTAGCTGGTCTCTGGTGCCCAGAGTGAGAAGAAACAGAAAGCTCAGGACTTCTTTGACCTTGACCGTAACTTTGGACTTACATAAGCAGGGGCTTCGGCCATTGCTCTCTAAACACTGAATGTATGAGTCAAAACTGATGCAGTGTTTCTCAGTCCCCAGCATCATTTGAGATGCTTGTTACACAGTGTAGATTCCCAGACCTGTCCTGTAATGAGTGTTTGAGGGACGCAGCATTGTGACAAGCCCGGCAGGTATTCAGGTGTGAGAGCCACCCAGGCACGCGTGGAAACTCACAGACTTGCTGGAACTCTTAACTCACAAGCAAGTGTTGCCTTTTTGAGTCGCCCCTGGGGAAATCCTCTGCCTCATTTCTGAATCTTCTCTTGTACAGCTGCCCTTAGAGCTGTGTCACAGTCTTCTGAATACCCTCCATGGTGACAGGACTTACTGATGTGGCGTTTTTTTTTTTTTTTTGCTGTACGCGGGCCTCTCACTGTTGTGGCCTCTCCCATTGTGGAGCACAGGCTCCGGACGTGCAGGCTCAGCGGCCATGGCTCACAGGCCCAGCCGCTCCGCGGCATGTGGGATCTTCCCGGACCGGGGCACGAACCCGCGTCCCCTGCATCGGCAGGCGGACTCTCAACCACTGCGCCACCAGGGAAGCCCTGATGTGGCGTTTTAATAGCCAAGTCATTCAGGGCCACTGCCGATAAGGAGGCTCATCAAGCTGGTTACTACCATTTGTGGTTAGAAAGAAACCAGTCAGTAAGGAGAAGCGTTTTCATGTCTCAGGAACTGTCTCTGAAGACAGCTCCCAAAGAGGAGTTCCCAAGATGCTTTGAGCTCTGGCAGTCTGGCTGTAGCAAGTGTGCAGGGCATCTGAAATTATTTTGAAAGACTGTGTGCATTTGGATGAATTCTGTTTTTTAAAAAAGGAGAGTATCTTCTAGCCATGCCTTAGTCTTGTTAGAAAGCCCCTCTCCAAAGAGTGACACCGATCAGAGCCCAGGTGGAGATTTCCCAGAGTGGGAACGCTGTTGGTTAATAGTGACACACCTCACCGCTCCCACCACCATCTGTGAGCCAATTGTAGATTTGTGAGATATTTAATCCCTTTTGATTGTTATCCTGAGACGTTATAATCATAAGGAAATAACATAAATACCTTTTTCTTGATTGTTGGAATGTTGGAAACAATGTACTAATTATAGAATGCTGACTAAAGATTAGACACGAGAGGCAGAAAACCTGACCTCCAAAGCTTGGACTTGCTACTCACCAGCTGTGTGTCCTTGGGCACATCATGTAGTCCCCAAGCCTGGCAAGGAATTGTCACAAAGCTAGCATGAGGATTTAAGAGACTCCAATACCTGACGGTACCCAAACATAGTTCCTGCCTCATAGATGGTGCAGTAGTGAGTGTCTATTGCATCTGAATCCCACCAGCTTGGTTCATTAAGCGCTTACTGCACTCCCAAGTGCTTTGGTCCAGGGGAAGAAAGGGGATGGAGGAAGGGAAGAGGAGAGACTTCATGGAAAAGGACTAACCTCTGCTTTGCCGTGGAAATGAATATTCGACAAAAGAACACCAAAGGGGAATGAATCAGTCGACTCTAAGCAAGTCCCATGTGCTCCCATGTTGCCAGAGTGCTGAGGATGGAGGCCAAGGGTCCTTCCGCGCCTCTGCAGGCGAGGACGGGAGGAGGGTTACTGGCAACGATGAGTCATTATAATTATGGACTGGTCTTTTCTGTTTAAAAAGCCACCACTTGAAACGTGGCTCCCAGCAATTACAAATCAGTTATAACTCACAATCAGGCCCCTGACTGTTTCAAGCCTGTGAGCTCTGTAAGTGTAGATATAAAACCCTCTTCGTGTGAGGTCAGCAGTCCAGCAAGATCATTCAGCTAGTGAGTCTAAACAAAGCTAACTGGAACAAGTTGTCAGTCAGCCCTCTGATAGCAAACTGCTGTCCTCATAAGGGATTCTCTGTTATTTCTTCCAGGCAATTTCTTTCCTCACACCTCTGGCTGTTATTTGTGTGGTGAAAATTATCCGGCGAACAGACAAGACTGAAATTAAGGAAGCCTTCCTAGGTAGAGTATTCACAGTTCCTGCTCTAAGGGATGGGGCTGAACTTAATTATTTAGGTCGCTAGATTTTGAAAGTCTCAGTTGCACCCAGCTGATTTTCCTCTTCGTCAAATTAAGTTTGGAAACGCAAGACAAGGTAAACTTTTACCCTTAGGAAGAACCAGTGCACGGCGGGTAAGTGCCCTGTCTTCAGGGTCAGCCCATTGCTGCTGCCCCTTGTGCTGAAAGTGAGTGTCAGGCTCCCCATCAGAGCTCTGTGCTTCCCCCGCACACCAGAAGGGCAGCTCTTGTCTGTAAGGGAAAGTGAATCTGAAACTTTGTCACCACTGACTGTCCAACCCCACATTTGTGGCCAATAGGCCCATATTTAAGGGCAATTCAAAAATCAACCACAGACTCCTTGGCCAATCACCATTGGCTAGAGGCAAAAATGTGCAAAAGCAAATGTAAAATATAATATAAATTGGAAACAAACTCCATAACTCATCTTCAGTTTGGGGACATTTTGGCAGTTAATCAACTGTTATTATGTAAAGGATGCTCCAGTCTTTGCCATTGATTATAACACCATTGTTATCAGTTCTCCCCAAGCTGAGCCATATCTGCAAGGGGACATGAGTCTGACATTTTTAGGGTTAAACCCATGTTTTTTCTGATCTGCATCTTAATCAAAAGACTGAGTAAATGACAGCATTAAGAGAAAGCAAAACTATTTGGCTTGTTTAGCAACCAGAGTAAACCACCTGGAGGCCAGGTTTTTAGCTTTTTGATGGTTACGAAAACTGATTTAGGTTTATTTTTTGACATGACACGTTAAATTTACCCAACCCGTCCGTCACACACATTGTGTTTGTTGGTGTGTTGTATAGGCTCACCGTTCAGTTAGGTAGTAAATCTGGAAATATGAGATTCTTAAGTAAAGGTTATGTTTGTTAATTACTGAGTTTTGAGGAAATGAAAATGTAGCGATCCATGGAAGGGGGGTGAGGGTGAGATCTAGGGAATGCAGAGCAGTAAAGGGACAGGGAACATTCTTACATAATCAGGCTTTGGTTAGGCTCTGTCTAGTTGAAAAGAACAGAATTCCTCTGAAATTACATCAGATAAGTTAGAGGTTTGCTTACAGGGCTATAACAAGCAATCGCACAGACATCCAGGAATAGGGAACAGAAGGACAGAGGACAGAGGAGCCTCGTGGGGACGGCACAGGTATCCAGGCCCCGAGGGGTGGAGGCACCCCTGCCGCCTCATGGCCTCCTCTCTGCAGTGTGCCCTTCCTCCCCTCCCCTCTCACTCCCTGCCTCAGTCTCCTGTCTGGACGTCGTTTCTGCTGCCTGCCTGCACCTTCGGTCTGTGTGAGGTTTGGGCTCGCAGTGGTGGGTGCCCCTGGCCCACCCCTGTGTGACCGTTCAGCTCCAGTGCCACCTCGAAGTTTCACTGCATCTCGTGGTCTAGACTTCCCAGGTGGAGACTCTGGCTCGACTCATTTCTCAAGCCTGGACACAAAAGTCCCGAGTCTCTGGCCAGCCTGTGGATGCCTTCCCTGAAGTCAGGTGTGTACCCCTGGCTGCTTAAGTGTGGTTTGAAGCTTTGGTCGTCACATGGTCTCTGTCTCCTCAGCTGAGGTGGTGGAAAGGTCAGGTTTTCCAGGAAGGGCGTAGGTGCCCTCCCACATGTGGCTCGAGCATCTGGACAGATATCACTGTGGTCCCCCAAATGTCCCTTTAGGAGCCCTCTCAGTTGACCTGGAAATCCCTCTGCTTCACTTGTTACTCTAGTCGCTCCCTTGACATGGAGTCCCGAGATATGTGACTGTGGGTAGGAACTGTCTTTCATGGTTATGGTTATAATTTACTGCCCGCTTTTGGAGCTGGGCTGTTGTTATGGCAGTGAGTAGCTTACAGTTACTTTCCCTAGACCTTTCATTCTCCGCTAAATCTCCCTTAGGATGACATCTCAAAATTGCACCCCATACCCGGCCTCCTATATGTTAACAGAGAAGGCGGAGTTATTGGATGTTCTGTTTGCCTAGATAAATGAGAGCCTGCCTTGTAAAAATGATGAAGAACTATCCATCGTACACAGTTTGTTTTAAATTGCTGCTTTTAGGAAGCCTTGGAAGTAGGGGGTGGGGAGAGTGATCTTTAAAAACCAAGGACAGAAAACTAGGTGTAGCTTTTCCACCGCTACCTGGGATGCAGGACTTTCTCAGTGAGGGTGGTTTAGTGCTGAGGTCCCTTCTTTACCCAGGCATCTTGAGCAGACCCGAACCCCCAGAGCTCCCCTGCCTGTCCACAGCAGCCCCCTTTGTGCATCTGCTCTTGGACAAGTGAGGCCTGCCCCACCCAGCATCGGGCTCTAAGAGATTTGGCTGCAGAACAGCCAGGTCTGTAAAACGGAGAGCCCTGTTTTGAAAGGACTGTGGTGCTGAATTCCCAACAACAAAAGTAACAAGAACAAAAGCCCCTCTTAATCCTCTGGGGTGCTTATAAGCAGGAGTGCCCTCCATATAGGCCACTTGCAGGCCAACTCACATGACACACTGCTTTGAATTTCTTTATCAGACACAGTCTGGCTTGTCTTTCTGGACTCTTCTCTCAAGCCTGCAGTGCTGTGGGATGCTGTAAACACAGCCCTTAGGAACCAGGCCCGCTGGGTTATTGTTAATCAACAAGCCACCCCCTGCCCCCATGATTGGCGCCATTCATTTCCTGCTTGGCCAGCCTGTCACGCATCTAATCTCAGCCCAGCCTTCCCTCTGGTATCAGTGAGAGGTCCCCTATCTTGGTCCCCCTGGGGGTTGTGCTATTCAGATGAACAAAATAATCAGTTCATTTCACTTCCGGAAGGCTGCAATGACTCCCACCCTAAGTATTGTCGTTCCAGATCCCCACTTTCTTCTGTCTCCTTCAGGCTTTTGGATCAGAGAGCGAAGCTGTCAGCTGTTGGTGCTTATATCACATCCACACATTTTCTAGCTCAGCTACTTGAAGCTTTTCAGAGAACTGCTCTGTGCTCCAGTAAACCCAGCCGGTGCAGAGGTTGAGGACGTGTATGGTGTTTCTGGACTGAAATAGCAGTCTCTGAAGTTCCCCGAGGGCATTGGGAGATCAGCTAGTGATGCTTGTTCTCAGAGACCTTCTCTGTGCAGAGGCCATGCTAGGACCAGGATACGAGGGAGTCTGGCCCCTCTGGGAAAACACAACAGTGAGCCCGCTGGACTAGCCCTGACAAGAAAAGCCCCTGTCATCTCAGGGCTATTTCACAGCCTGTTAATTGTCGTAGCTCTGGGAGAATTCTGCAGTGAAGATGGCCCAGGGAATTTGCCCTCCTCTCTGCAAAGGAGACCTCTCAGCAGTGCTGTGAGCTTGTGAGAAAGAAGGGAAGCCAGCGTTTTACGAAGGAAGGGTCTGTGCGTGCAGAATGTAATCATATCTCTCCAAGTGCCCCCACTCTTGCTTCCAGTTTATATACCCCAGTTGCGTGCTCGGTATTTTAAAGGTGGTGCCGCACTGCTGACTCATGCTCTGCTCTCCACCCCCGGTGGCCCATCCCTCCTTTGCTGCCACAGTCAGATATGGCACTGCTGCCCATCCCGCACTTAGGGGATTAGTTTCCCTTTGACAAAGGTGTTCATTTGAACTGGTCCCTCCCGTTCTCTTTGCTTCCCATGACTTGTTAAAAGCGGGTGGGTTCTGTCTCCACCTCAGTGGCCTGTGCCCTCGGTGACTGTTGACTGTTCACAGTACTTTCCGTTTGTAGAATAACACATTTGTCTCCCTTGATGACCATGAATTGCTCCCGGCAGCTCCTTTCCGAAAATGGCCCTCCACTGCTATTTTCTTATGTAAATCTCAGCTAGTATTGAACAGTTAATACTTGCCAAGGGGAAATCGTAACTCATATGCTTTATTATTCAACAGAGCAGTGGAACGGGGCATCAGTAGGTTTTTATTGCTTATGCAGAGCATTTGGCCTTCCATCGCATTGACTTGCCCTTTGTGCAGTCTTGATAAACACAGGAGAGAGGTGCAGGGTCCTTGCAGGGAAAGCTCCATGACTCATTCCATCTGCACCCTTTGGACGATCTGTGCTTCATCCAGCAAAGTCCTTCCAGGCTGCTGGGAGAAAGTCCCTGTGCTGTCTGTTTTTAAAGGATGTAATCCAGAAGTGCCTACTGTTTTAGGTGGCAGGAAGCACCACCTGGGCAAATCTTTTCAAAAGCAAACGAGGTTTTGGGGACACTTCACCTTCTCGGAAACGGTGATTTGTTTGATAACAAGTGCAGAGCCGTCAGCAGGAGACGCGGGTCAACAAGGAGGTGATGGCTGAGTGGGCACATCCTACTTGCAGTAGGATTCCAGCAGCTGCTCTGATTAGAATTGTGTCTGAGAAGATTGCCAGAAGGAAATAAAAAAGTTATGTTTCTTGCTACCAGTAAAAGGGATTCTACATGCTGTCCTATTAAATCTTTTCCTATCAGGCCAGAGCATGATAGATGGGCTTCTCAGTGATATTGAAAATTTCATTCAAGGAGGAGAGATCAATTTCATGTCACAGGGGCTTGGAATTTTATGAGTCACTCTCCAAAGTCCTGTTCTAATTACATTTTCCTTTAGCTGCTCAAACCTGCCTCCCTTTTTTAGAGTATTCGCTCATATTTCTATGGTCATAAATTAAACAGTAGTATGATGGAACAGAGGTGATGGTGATGATGATGATAACGATGATGATGATGGTTTTGATTTGCGAGCCCGCTGGTTATTTTTCTGTCTGTTGGTTTTGTTTTGTAGCCGTGTCCTTGGCTCTTGCTTTGAATGGAGTCTGCACAAACACTATTAAATTAATAGTGGGAAGGTAAGTTCCAGAAAAGAAACAAATAGTGACTTTGATTCTCAGGGTTTTCTATGTAGGAGCCTTGAGCGCAGGACACTGGATGGGGCAAATTTGAGCTCTTCTGGTTTTCCCTTAAGTTATTGTCCTTCTGAGATTTCTGTCCTCAGCATAGATCTTTCCTCTCCTTTGAATTACGAACTCAGTATTTCAGAAAGCAGGGCATCAATAGTAAAGCGGTATCCACTGACTATACTTTCTTGTGGACCAAAGCCCACTGCTGGCATCTCTGGTCCATCCACTGATGTTCCAGGGCCTCACCAGACACCCACTCACTTGCCAGTTTTGGCCTCCAAAAAATATATAAGCTTTCTTCTTTATCGTCCTCTTTGGAATAAGAAATCTGGATTGGCATTTGAGCTTTGGCTCCTGGCACATTTCTCTTACTCCCCTGGGAAGTGATTTCTCTTCTCCATTTATCTTGCCTCCTCCCTCAGCCGCTCTGGCAGTGAGCTAATCTCTGTAGAGAAGAACCGTCAAAAGACCCGAATTCGGGACCTGACCTTGGCCCTGCCTAGCTGTTGGCCTTGGACAGGTTGGTTCCCCTCTTGGAACCTCAGTATCAGTGATCATGTAAATACTTGGTGCGTGGTGCTGGCCCGGCATCGAGGGGGCAGAAGAGGGATACAGGTGGGGCAGTGCGTGGCTGGGGGGCTGCAGTGTCCTTGCAACTTTCCAGGCTTGGAGTTGCTGTGGGGCCTGATAAAACGCCGATTCCCAGGCCGTGTCCGCTCTGAGGTTCTGGTTCAGTAGGTGAATAGCCACACTTGGAGGAACACTAGCCACATAGGGGAGAGACAGTAAGCCAGGCGTTCTGGTAAATTACTGATAATCGATATGTTACAGATACCGATAGATTGTTATTGGGCCCAGATCCCAGAACTGGAGGACCAGTGAGTCAGTCTGTGTGAACTGTAACCCAGTACGTACAGAAAAGGGGGATTGTGTTTACAGTGCTAGCAAGACCTTGTCCACGGCAGGCATTCGGCAAAGGTTAGTTGAATTAATGTGAAGTCATTCACCATCACACATCTGTGTGAGAATCCACACTTGAGTGGGGTGGACAAGCATGGGGTGAGCTGTGTAGGCACAAGAATCCAGTTGCTGGGGTTCAGAGCTTGTCTTTGCCACTTACTGGTTGTGTGTGACCTTGGGCACTAGTGTAATCTTTCTGAGCCTTCATTTTCGCACCTGTGGAATGAAGGAGGTCCGAGGGCCTGCCCCAGGGTTGTCATAAGAATCGTATGACACATAGAGTCACAGATGTAGAGAGCAAACTTACGGTTACCAAGGGGGAAAGAGGGGTGGGCGAATTGGGAGATGGGGGTTGACTTATATACACCACTATGTATAAAATAGATAACTAATGAGAACCTACCGTTTAGCACAGGGGGCTCTACTCAGTGCTCTGTGGTGACCTCACTGGGAAGGAAATGTAAAAGAGAGGGGTATCTATGTATACATACAACTGATTCACTTTACTGTACAGCAGACACTAACACAACATTGCAAAGCAACTATACTCCAATAAAAATTTTAAAAGGAAATAAAATTTGAAAAAACATGCACCCATGGGCGGTGCTTAGTGCTGGGTCTGGTATGCAGTACGTACTCAGTACACGTTATCCGTGATTGTGGCAGTAGGCTCGGCCTCGGGGCCGGCTTGTAACCGCCTCCCTGTAGAGCCTCCCCCGCAACCTGGCCCAGGTGCCGACCTGGCGACCGTGTGCTCTGCATCTTGGAGCTGGGCTTCCAGGTCCTCTTAGTGAGCTTAAGTGAGACTGCTATTTGAGGAAGGGCAGGCAGTTGGCCATCCAAATTCAAGCTACAGGGCCACGAGGAGCCTAGAGGCTTGGGTCCTGGAAGCAGCCTCCGAGTAGCGGACGCATAGGTGTAGGCGGGAACTACCCTCTAGTCCGCCGGCCCTGGGCTTAGGTGGCTCCTGGAAGTCACCTCACTTGACCTGCAGGACCTCACCTTTGGGTAGGTATTGATCTCCCTTTTTTACAGATGTGGAAACTGAGGCTGGGGTGGGGGATGGCTACGTGACCTTCCCAAGGTCATAAAACTAGTAAGTGGCAGAGTGGGAGTTCCAGCCCAGATCTCTCGGACCCCAAAGCCTGAGCTTTGCCTAAGCCCATAGTGTCTTTGGGGCGGGGCGGGCTGCGCTGTTGATGGCAGCAGAAGGAGCTAGGACAGCAGGGGACAGCGGGGTTAGCTTGGGGTTTGTTTGTGATGGCAGCGTTTTATATTGAAAATGTCCATGGTGTCTTTTGTAGACCTCGCCCCGATTTCTTTTACCGCTGCTTTCCAGATGGAGTGATGAACTCGGAAATGCACTGCACAGGTGACCCCGACCTGGTGTCCGAGGGCCGCAAAAGCTTCCCCAGCATCCATTCCTCCTGTAAGTTCAGTGGCTGGGACACTCTAATTCCTGGGTCATGTCTCCTCATCACTTTCTTCGGGAGTTGAGGTGGAGAGAAAAGAGTTGATACACGAAGGTCGAGCACCGTTCACTTTTCTTCACTGGTTGGCTTAGAAACAAGATATTTAATAGGAAATAATGAGCCTGAGGACAAGGCTCTGGAGTTTACAAAACATTGAATATGTTGCTTTTGTGAACTTGGCAGAGTGTAACATGTGACACTTTACCCTTTGGCAGTACCAATCAGAACTTGACAGTGAGAGGGAATTAACCATGTTCCCTGGGACCTTATGCCTTTCAGCTCAGTGTTCTCTCTAGTTTACTCCTTCAATGAAGGTAGTGTATGTGTGTGTGTGTACCAACATATAGTGTATGTGTGTGTGTGTGTGTATATATAAATGAACATACACCCTCCCTAATATATAGTCTGATTATGGGTATGTGAGCTGGGACCAGCCTTAAGCAAAGAATAAATAACATGAATCAGGTGCAGGGTGGGGTAGTACAGAGCATACAGGTCTTTAAAGTGTGACAAATCCTGACTCTGCCAGGTCTTAGCTCTGTGACTTAACCTCTCTGTGCCTCAGTTCCTGCTGTGTAAAGTGGGAATAAGGCCTCCGCTATTGGTTAGATAGAGTGAGGGTTAAAATAAGAGATGGGGATCACTGACATTGCTGGGGCGTCTGCTGGGCCCAGATGTTAAAAAGGTGCATTATCTTATTTAGTCCATTCAGTGTCTGTCAAGTACTTGGTATCATGCTTCAAATAAACCCCAGTCATCCATGCATTGTTTAGTCTCAGGGCTGAGGTTCCCAGAGTGTTCTGGTTTGTGTCTTCATTCGTTCCATCAGTGTTTACTGAGTGACTTAGGTGCCAGGCACTGACTGTGATAGGTGTTGAGGACACAAAGATAAGTGAGACACAACGCGTGTCCTGGGGAGTCCAGGGGCAGTGGCAGGCTGTATATTTAGGTTGGTGATTCTGGGATCATTGGAGAGGAACCAGCCCCACAGGTGACCACCTGGGAAAGGACAGCCTGCTCTCATGACCCAGAGTCCTTGATTCCCCACAGGTCTGATCGTTGTGTAGCTTTCGCGAGCCTGTTACCTTAATCTTTTCTCTTTCTAAGTACCTAATACACACCCTCATAGTGGCTGGATCAAGGAATAACTGGACGGCCTTTCCTGCAGAGTGGTTGTTGGGCATTTTGCTCAGAGTCACTAGAGATTAGGGCCTGTCAACAATATAGAGGTGCCCGGCCCGCTAAGTGGATCTCCATCAACCTGTGCCACAGCCCTGCCAGGTCCGGTTGTCCCCACTTTGTGTGCAGGAACAGTGAAGCTTAGACAGACTCAGCAACTTGTTCAAGGACACTTAGCTGACCTTCATGCCAGCCTCTAACACGATAGTGTCTTGGGCTTTAGGTGATTAAATACAACAAGGTGTTCACAGCCCACGTGCATTTAAATAAATAACTCATTTTCCCCTCTAGTTTACTGGAGACTTTGGTGGGTTGAATAATGGCCCCCCAAAAGATATGTCCAAGTCCTAGCCCACAGAACCTGTGAATGTGACCTTATTTGGAAAAAAGGTCTTTGCAGATGTAATTAAGTTAAGGATCTCAAGATGAGATCATCCTGGCTTTAGGGTGGGCCCTAAGTCCAATGACGGATGTCCCTATAAGAGAAAGGCAGAAGAACATTGAGACTTAGAGATGCAAGGACGAAGGCCACGTGAAGGCAGAGGCAGTGATTGCAGTGACGCAGCCACAAGCCAAGGAGCACCTGGAGCCACCAGCAGCTGGAAGAGGCAGGGGAGGAGCCTCCCCTGGAGCCTTCACAGGGACCGTGGCCCAGCCAACACCTTGATTTTGGACTTCTGGCTTCCAGAACTGTGAGGGAGGAAATTTCTTTCATTTTCAGCCACCAGGTTTGTGGTAATTTGTCACAGCAGCACTGAGAAAAGAAAAAGGAGACTTAGATTGAACACATTGGTTCATGGAGAGGGTTTGGCTCTGGAGTCATGGGGGAGATTGAGAGAAAGCACGCTCCTGGGCATGCTTCCTAAAGTGCCCTCTGAGGTTAGTATTGCCAGGGGCACAGCCTGCATGACGGTGTAGGGTGCTCCAGTCACTCCCGTTATTTAAGGTCACGCATCCATTTGGAATCACTTCCTGTCCCAGTTTGTTCTTCCTCTCTGAAGTCATGTTTTGTTTTAAGTGAGTCTGTTTCGGAGGCAGTGTAGGTGCCAGCTGGAGGAATGCCTGCAGTATTGATTCCTATCTCCTTACTGTCAGGGATTCCTGTGCTGGCATTGTTTAGAGGTACCTGGGGTGGTATTCACCTGGGGCCCGCTTCTATCTGGTCTCCATCTGCATCCTTGTGGGGTCACCCAAGTTCTCTGTGGTTTTAAGACATGTTCTGTTCTCCCAAAGACTCGGTGCTGAGCTTCAAGGGGCTTCAAAAATTATAAGCAGTAAGAAGTGAAACCCTGTGGGAAAACCTTAATCCTGGCTTTCAAACTGTTAACTGAGGACTGCAGCACAATTTCGTAGCTACTCTTGGCATTTGAACTTGGGAGAGAAATAGGTCTTATGTGAATAACTCAAGCTAGAAGACTGCTGGACCACAAAGAGTAGAGGCCAGGCCCCACAAAAGTGTTTCTTTCAGAGGCTCACCCTCCCTGTCAAATGCGTTTCCTGACAAGTCTGCCCACCAGCTGCCTTGTCGAATGCGAGGCTGATGTCCCATCTGTGCTAGACAAGTTTTTTGACAGAGGGTATTACTATCTTTTGCTTAAGATGTACTTATAATGTTACAGATTTTTACTACTTGGCAGACACAGAATCCTCCCCAGTCTCTAGGCTTTGGTGAGTATTTTCATCTGCTCTCTTTCTCTTTTTTATGACAGGTCAGAGGTTGCCTTGCAGGGAGCTGCCATGTCCACTTAGAAAAACCATCAGTGCTGTTTTCTGGATTTCTTATTGTAGCTAATAGGAAGCCTAGTGGTTGGTGTGACTCTTTGCTCCTCGAAGAGGTGGCAGACCTCAGAGGGGGTGACCTCATTGGACTCCCATTTTGTATACACACTCTT